ACCTTTCCAGGGAAACGAGTGACTCCGTCCATCTCGTTGGGTTTTTGCTTGGACGAAGCCAAGCCTCCTCTTCCGCACCCGGGACCCACGGACCACTGGTGGGTGCGGAGGTTGTGAGGATTATACCCTAGGGCTCCAACTACCTCCTGAGAAGGTGGTTGGGGTGGGTTTTGGGGGTCTAACCACCTTTTGAGGAGATGGTTGGAGCCCTAGGGATATAAGGAAAAGGAATGCAAAAAGATATGAATTATGTTTATAGTCGCACTGACAGACATGTGGGAAGTCACTAGTTCATCGAAGGAATTCCTTTGTATTTGTTTTCCCGTAGATTTGTTGGAAGGGAAGGTGACTTGATTGTTGCTTATAGAATCCATTGGAACTGATCTTACTTTCAATGGAAACGCCTCACTTTTCCCGATCTGATCCGCAGGTTCTGGCTCTCATCCACCCTGCCCATGCCGGTCGCATCGGTCGCCCGCTTCTCGGGTTTTTCGTCAGATCCGCGCAGGTCATGGATGTGATCTCGAAGGCTTGTCGTGGCAACTATCGCTACATCGATTGTGTGGGCGAGGAGACGACGGCGAAGCGAGAGAGAGAGAGGGAGATGTATTTTTCCTTCGGGAAGATGGGCCGTGACCATTGGCCGATGGCCGTAGAAACTGGAAATCGTGGAAGAGAACTCAGAATAGAAGAGAGAAAAGGCCAATTGGCACATTCTGTTCTGAGTCTGAAATCCACAAAGTTTGAGTTACGCTTGAATTCTGACTCTCAGTTTGGTGTTTGCTTGTTCAGTTTGAATTAAGTGTCCAAGTTATTGATTCTTTGTGTTTTGCTTGCATAATATCCAATATAGGATTACTCATTACAATATAGTGTCAAAAAGGTTTTGATTCACATAATATATATATATATATATGTGTACTCTAGGTTTATGGACAATTTTTGTTTGTGCTTTCCACCTGCATTTTTGCAGGCTTGGGCAAGCGCTCCTCGCAGGAACGTAGGACCCAGGCCCCTCTTAGGCAGTGGAAAACTTGCGCTCCTGATCGCTCGAGACCTTGTTAATATACACACCCTGCCCTGCACCCTGAAATTTAAAGGCAATCTATCATGTGTTTATTCAATATTCCATACATGGAGTTTTTGCATCGGCCATGATGAATGCAGCAGTCTCAAAACAAGACGTTGCCAGGAGTCCCAGACTGCTTTGATGGCCCAGCAATCCTACGTGGTGCTTCCAGGGTGCCGCCCGCGGTTGTTCAGTCGAGATGGTTGTCAGGACAGGAGATACATGGAGATACCCCTGGCAGCCCGTTTGGTTGGTTCATGTTGGTTCCAATCTGGCGCCAGCTTGAAATCTGTTAAGGGGAAGTGGCTAGGACTGGGGAGTTCCATCCAGAATTGCTTCATGCTATTTCTGCTTTGGACTTTGGACTAGATTTCCAAGTGCAAACTCAAGTCCAAGAAGCGGTGTGCTCATCAAACCCTCGAATCCAACACAGGACAGATGGGTCTTCCAAAAGGACCTATTGGTGTCCGGAGTCCTGGGCAGAACTAAGATGACCAGGGTAGCTTTCCAACAAACACGGCCCCAAGTCAAGTCTTCCCAGCGCCGACACGTCGATGTCATTCCTTCCAATGACCGGACCGGAAGCATCCGCGATGCACGTGGACAGGCATCAATGTTTGGCGGCCCTTTACAACCTCATCATCAATGAGATGGCCTCCGACCGGCAAGCCGTCGCGAATCTTTCTGCGCCTTCCGCGAGCCGTTCTTGCAAGTTCCTCTCAGGTGTGGTGGAAGGGGGCGAACTTCAGATGCTATGGCATTCGTGTAGGTTGGGTTCGGGTATATAGAGAATCCGACCGAATCGTTTCCGAATTCGCCTCTAACCGGGTTCAGGTGATCCCGATAGTTATCCGGTGCCGGGATCGACGCAGGGTTTGTCCAACAAGGTCATGGCTGCATGGCATTCGACCACGTCCAAAGACACCGAAAGAATACCAAACGCACTGTGCGTTTCAGACTCTCTCCCAAGCATCCAAAGATTCGAGTGTGTGTGTGTGTGTTTGTTTTGCGAGAACTTGGGAACATCGCGGGAAGGAGAGTGCAAACAATATTATACATATATATATATATAAATATATGTGTGTGTGTTTACATGAATAGAGCATGGAAATAACTACAAGCGGTTGATTTGTGCATAGCCTCTGACCAACCACTGCCAGTCTCCGCCATAGTACAGCCACTCCACTTGGATCGAAGGACATGTTCACCGCTCCACTTGCGGACTCAGTGGAAGACTAGCCCTTAACCTTGTTGTATGTTGAAGTACTAGTAGGATTGAAGAGCATGACTGAACCTCGAGCAGAATAGCCCAGGAATGAATACTTTGCAGTACTGAATCCTTGTTCACCTTTGGAGTGGACCAGGTATGGTTACAAGATTTTGGTCTTCTTTGCCACGGTCCGCTGACCTGGTCCTCGAACACGGGCACCGAAAACGAAGGGACCAATGGGGCTGAGAGTTCAGAGTGGTGACCCACGCTGCTTGTTTTTTGGGGATTGGACACCTGTTGTGTTTGTTCTTTCTTTCGAAATCTGAAGGAGAATTTACAGATTAATGTAGAATGTAGACGGAAGGTCAGAGTTCTTCTTGACTTTGGAGTTAAAGTGTTTGCTTCGCATCAACTCGGAAGATCAGCTAGTTGTTCATCTACTGACGTGCCCTGACTGCCTCTCTTTTTTCTTCTCCTAAAAATGGTTTGTGGTGCTCCTCCCGCAGAAAACCTGTGAGCTTTAGAGTTCAGTCCTCACTCTCTTCCTTCCCAGATGTCCTTTAAGGTGCATGGTTTATCAATTATTACTTTTGAACTTTGCATGCAGCAAATTTTTCATGTAAATCCTACAAAATTATACAACATTGCTATGTAACTATCTTACTTGAACAACACAACACATCACATTCTATTTGGGTATAAAGAACACATGCAGGCAATATAAGTTGTAGTGGTCTTCCTATCTTCAATGTTTCATAATTGTCCTATTGTTCATATGGTTCACCAAGCGTGTCCGTCTCTGGGTTTTTCTTGTGCTTTTCACACTGTTTGCTGTTGTTCCTATTTGATTCTACAGTATGTGTTTGTCACTATGTGCCTATGATTTTGATTGATGTGCTTTGTTTGAGAATGTTTGGTCCAGATTGCAGTGATCAAACTAGAGTTTTGAGGATGTGTCGAGGACAATTAGGAAAACATAGGTAAGGCATAGTAAAACAATTGAAGAAATAAATAAGACGGAAAATAAGTGACCAACATCATAGAAAACACATACAAGAATAGGACCAAATAATGTGATAGCAATAATAGGGCAACAAAAGGTCCTAGCAGTCCGGGGTTGTAAAGGAGTCTTAAGGTCCTTCAGCTGGATACTAGGTTGCGTTTATGCTCCTTGTTGTGTTTCCTAAATTGGTTTTAAGCAACCATCGAGAGTGCAATAACTGTTTTTTCGTATCATAGTCTTATATTCAATCCGCATCCGGCGTTTAACACAGAGAAACCACTGCGCCGCCCGTCCTGAGGCGCGGATGACTTCCTTCATGGCACAGCCGGTGCCTCGGTCGACCCACCGGTGTCGGTACAGGTCGACCGTCCTCACCGGTGTCGGTACAGGCGTCATGGATGTGTCGGCACGAAAGGTCGATCAGGATCCAATATGGGCGTATAGTATTTTAGATAGGGAGACCCCCTGGACCTCTATTTCCCGCACCTGCCAGGGGACCCAACCTCCATAGCAGAGGTTCAGCCCTGGTTCCCAAACCCTAGGTGTTGGTTTCGTGCCCGGATTCTATCCGGGAAATCAATATCAGATTCGCACATGCATATAGCACTGAATGAAATTGGTCCTGTGACCTGTGGCGTTGCATGGCCTGAGTGACCTCTTTTTTTGGATCACAAACCGTAAAATCATTTACTGCCAGGACCATCCTGTCTGGGTGTCCAATGGACTACCCTACCCTACTTATAGGTCTCCAGACAGGGCACCCAGTAAGGAAGTGCTAGGTATTATATAGATCTGTATAGTCTTTTCCTATCACGCACACAACTTGCCCTCCGATCCACGGCGACATTCTCACGTCGCCCTGATCCCACACATGCTTGTTTCACCGCCGTGAAAAGCTCAACCGGTATCAACCACGCTTGTTCACTCTTCGTGAATGAACGAACAACAGCGTCTCGTTCGATTGATGCAAAGCGTGAATATTAATTGTCAAAAGCCAAGGCTGAAAGATCTGATTGAGTCCGAATGCATTGTTTGACACGTTGGTGAAGCGGCAGGGCAAGGAAGGCACTCTCCGGAGGAAGGGCTTCAGAGAACAACGCGCAATCGAACACTGAGCGGATAAGGTTGATCGGGCAAGTTACGAACAATCTATGAGTATGAGTAAGGCCAGGAGCCCCTAGTAGCGTCCTTGCTCCTAGTAGCGATGCCCTATGCTCCTAGTAGCGTCCTCTTGCTCCTTGTTAAATAGATCTTGCATCAAGTCCGGTCTCGAAGCTATTCCTCCGATCAAGCTTCTCTGAAAACCTCATCTCACCATTAAAGATGCCCAGTTGTTTTTTGTATCGCGGGGTACATCTGCACTCCAGTTGTACTCTCTAAACTTTAACCACTGCACGAAAATGATTTGCCTGGTGCCACAAACTTCTAACCATCATCTTTTCCTATATTAGTTGAATGGGCTCTATAGGTTTTTATTCCTGACGTCAAACGAAGGTTCTTCCGCCAGCAGCTCCACCTGGGCGTCTTCGAGATCCATCGACGACGTGAGGTCCGTCGTTGTGGAACAAACACCAAGCGGGGAAGCCGTGACGGGGGGAAACCCCCCAGTCGCAATCAGAAACAGTTCTGGTTGGAAAACAAGATGGTTTGCTTGTAAACCTTTCAATTTTTCTGGTAGTTTGGGCTTCCAGGAAGAAGTTGAGCGGGCCATAAGAGGATAGAAGAGGGAGGCCTGGGGGTTCCAGCAAAAAACTGGCGAGAGAAGTCTACTGTCCTCTTTGGTGAAAAACCTGGTCTCGACCCCCACGCGACCGTTGGGGGAAGACCTGACCGGGGACTCCTTCTTCACCGCCTGGGCCACCTTCTTCGACCGGCGAACGGTTCTTAGGACCGAACCGCTCACATCCGCCGTCCTCGCCGACATCACGTGTGCAGAAACGGCCGGTCACCGCCGTCCCGGGCCGGAAAACAGCGCCGCTGAACTTGGTCGCCATGGACCTGGATCAAGTGCTCCTTGCTTTGGTGGATGGTACATGGAGACAACCGGCCGGTGAAACAGTGATGAATATGGCCCTGACCTTCCAGGCTCGAGACCCGAGGCAATGAGCGTGGCACGAGGGAGTTGTTTGTGTGACGTTTTATGGACAGATTAGACTGTTTTAACCTAGTAGCCATGGCCCCCAACCTACTAGCAATGGCCTCCAACATCCTCCAACCTACTTGCGATGGCCTCCATCCTACTAGCGATGGCCTCCACCCACTAGCGATGGCCCCCAACCTAATACCGATGGCCTCCAACCTACTAGCGATGGCCTCAAACCTACTAGCGATGGCCTCCAACCTGCTAGAGATGGCCTCCAACATCCTCCAACCTACTAGCAACCTAATACCGATGGGCTCCAACCTACTAGCGATGGCCCATGGCCTCAAACCTACTAGCGATAGCCTCCAACCTGCTAGAGATGGCCTCCAACATCCTCCAACCTACTAGCGATGGCCTCCAATAATATTGATCGTCAACCTGCAACCTTGGGATGTGTTTGTTACTCATGACTCATATCCTTCAAGCTAGTTGAGACCAACAATGAAACCAGAATTCGCTGCTGCTTGGTACCAATGTTGCGGGAGTTTGCACGGCGCCACGTGCGGTTGTTTGGCCAAGCAGCTTGCAATGATCCGGTTAAGAGCCAAGAGCAAGAACACCCTCGAATCATGACAGGCCAGTTTTCCGGAATTGATTTCGGAATTGAAACTCGAGGTTCCGAATCCGTGCTATGAAAAGCATCCTCCGTTATATAGTTTATATTTATAGTTTAAACACAACTGATATTAAATTATCATTCAGGGTTGATGAACAAAAGCTGAAGAAGATTGTTCCAGGGTGTGCTCGGTGCCTACCTCATCCTGGGCATCGTCAACAAGCAATTCCTCCAGTCTATTGCATCTCAGCGGCATTTCATCGGTCTGTCAAACCGTTTCTTGAAGCGCCTCCGCAAATGCTTCAGACATTGATATGCTTCGCTGCGAAAAACACACGGACGACCTGTCCCAAAAACAACAAAAATACTTTATGAAAGCAAGATGGAGCCCACGAACCCGAATGCAAACACGTTCGGCAAGTAGCCGTTCGATTGCATTGTTTCAAAAAAGACTCTTTTCCCGCTGAGATGATGCGTCACATTGGGGACTCTGCCACCACATGTAGAGCATTCTTCATTCTGCAGGGCTGTAAGTGAGACATGTGTGCAAAGACTCAGGCAGATCAGATCTGCATCACGAAAGAGGCATTTGCACTGTCCAAAGGTTTAGAAAAGACTAGGACCCAAAATGATAACCGTCGACATCCGTCGACATATATAATACAGAGAAATCCACGATTGTGGCGTTTGGTGTTGTTGCAAGTACAGGAATGGAGGACTGTGCGTCACTGCAACTCCCCTACGTCGAAAAGAAGCATCAACATATGATGCAAATATTTCCATACATACACGATGGAAGGGAACGGCATTGTCCTACATCATTCACTTATTCAAAAGAATGCTCTTGTGGTACACTCTTGCAGGACACTCTTGTACGACACTCTTGTGACTCTTGTGAGACATTATTGTAAGACACTCTTGCGGAAAACTCTTGTGGGACACTCTCGTGGGACACTCACGTACGACACTCTGGTGGGGCACTCTTGTGTCACACCCTTGTCGGACACTCGCGTGGGACGCTCTTGTGGGACACTCGCCTACGATGCTCGGGTGGGACACTCTTGTGGGACACTCTCATGGCACACTCTCATGGCACACTCTCTCGTGCGACCCTCTCTCGTGGGACACTCTTGTGGCACACGCTAGTGGGGCACTCTTGCTTCTTCCTAAAAGTCACACGTCAAGTCTCCAAAACGAGCGTTTCGTACGAGACATCCTCCAAAAGTCACGCGTCAAAGTCCCCAAAATACGAGCGTTCCGTCAGAGAAGCGGGAAGTCTCATCAGAGACAACGCATTCGGCAGCCCTGCCAAGCAGCTTCGCAAACCCAGCCCCTCAAAACCATAACCGCCGACGCATCAATCCAAATATCACAGCGACATTCACCTCCACCAAACTTCGCAACCTCACGATTCCCTGCGCCTGCCACGAAAATTCAACTTCGATACCCTCAACACGCACATTTTGTGCCTGCCACGAAAAGTGATGATATGAGTGACATGTTCAGTCGCGATCATGCTCATGTCTTCAGCAAGATTTGTGCCGCACCACGCATTTGGAATGCTTAGGACACATTCTGACCACACTCCCATCCACCAACATCGCCATTTTAGCTGAGATCTTCGAAGCAACAACCCGAGACGCAAATCCCAATGTCACGGCCACATCCAACACCCAAAATCAACACCTTCTAAATGCCAATCGAGGATCTCACAAAACGCTGGCACCTGCGCAGTGAAATCATCCTCCACACTTCAACATGCTATTTTTCCACACGATTCGCCGCTATTTATTTCCCACGAATCTGACAAGTCATGCTTCCATCCAAAGCCTTCTCCAAAACCTTTGCCCAATGTCAGCGCCATAGCGACCTACTGCGGATGGCTCCATTAACTTGCGAAAAGTTGCGCACACTACGACAACAAGTCCCGAACAAGAGTCTATATATAGATCCTGAAAAGTTAAACTAAAACCTTTCGTTCGGGGATAAAAACCGAACAAATCAACAATGTACACGTCTCTCTCAAACCCTTTGGGAGGAGTTCTTTGCTCACACCGGCCCACTTTTCTTGTCGATGAGGTGAACCACTTCTCCTTTTGGTACCACCAACTCCGCAGGCGACCGGGCGATTGGGGCGACGCGCTCGACGCGCCACAGCCGGGCAATGATCGGCACCGACCGGTCTCGACCGGACCACCACATTCCTTCACGGGTTTTGGACCGGGCGCCGGGAGGTACCAACCGCTGCAACTGCAAGAGCATGCGAAGGGCAAGTTGGTCGGCAAGCTGCGGAAGAAGATTGCCCTGTGCCCGCCGAATCTCGCTGGGTCCCGTGCCGATGATGAGCTGGATGGGTCTTCTGGTTAGTGTTGAAGAGCTGATCACCGGTTTGTCTTCGACGCAAAAAGGAGGTTCCAAACGTTGGAGTGTTGGAGTGTGGGGGCATGTGTGCCCCACGATTGCAAGATACACCGATGGGACTGGATGCTGGACCCTTCTCAAATTGGTTCAAAAGATGCGACAACAAACATCATTATTTGTTTAAGGGACATGCTCACCTGTGCACGATAAGTCCCAAGTGAGGACCCACCTGCCTAGCTTAGCTGTCGCCATATCGTCCCTTTACGAATCCGCCACAACAACGGCGGTTCGCACGCGACAAGCAAACATGGACTGAAGACATATCAATATCGATGTCCAACCACGGTTAGAGCACAAGTCACGATGTTTTTCAATGACAAAACAGAATGGCAATAGGAGTGGCATACAACTACTAAAGACGAAAGCAAAAGATAGCGATGGTTTAGCGTAGCATGTTACATGTTGATGGTGGTCCCGCGGGCCCGTGCCATGACTTTGGGGATTCTCCCTTTTTGGTAGTGATGACATGCACCATCATGCACCCAGTGTTCGTTTGAGATCAATCCTTGCTCCGGACCTGCTTTGGGGTGATTTGAAGAGACGGGCTCGTGTCTTACAAGCTGCTCCTCGGGGCCTCGGGGCTTCCATTTGTGACTACGGTATACCTCCCCGCTCCTGTTGTATAGCTAGTTTGTTCTGGCACCTGGACCTCAAGCATTCAACATGGAGACGTGACATAAGTTCTTCGTATGGTGCCGACCGAAACACGAAGAACATCAAAGTCCGAGCATTCCTGTGCATGAATGATGTACAAAAAGTACAGTACATCAGAGAGAATCAATAGTAATCACTCGATCACATCATGTTCAAACGGCCGTGTTTGTTCGAACATGTTGCTTCACTTGAGCTTGCCTAGACTAGACCATCCATGTATATGGACCAGTACATGTGCCTATGCAAGCAACGACCATCCATCCCTGGATGGTTTGTGCGTAGTTCATGTGTGCTCGACGAGACCAATAAAACGGTCCCAGAGTGGCCACCCAAAACGGAGGGCGAAACGCCTAAACGCCTCGCGAAAAGGGTTTTGTTGAGCACTTCTGGGGTCAGGTGGACATTTTGCGCATCAGATGTGTGGGATGTGTATATGTGTTCGGAGAAATGAGATAGTCCAACTGTGCAAAGCCTATACCTATGGAAAATCATATTGGGTGAAACCCAAAAAACGTAGAAGCTCTGTGCCAGGTACGCCTTATCTTTTGCTTTGTGGGCCTTGGCACCCTGTACTATTTCAGGCCATTTTTCGTTGGTTGGTCCAGTGGCTTGCGGTGTTCATCTCCATAGCACTTGCGACGGCGGGCTGTTGCCGTGCTCGGAAGTCAGAGGGCCAGCTCCTCCGAGGGATTCTTCTTCACCTTGTACCTCATGAGCATGTTGGCGCAGATTGAGCAGCCCATCAACGAAACCTTGTACGGAGACATAGTAGCTCGGCCGAAAAGAGATGCTCCAAAGGTTGCGAATTGCATGTAAAAAGAGTTAAACATAAAAAGATATACAAGATGCTGTATATATATATTGCAAAAAGCATCCAAACTCTGCGAGTTCTGCACACATCAGCTTCTATGAATTTGCATCGTTTTGGTGCCGAGACGGGTTTCTGACATGTTTGGCGCCTTTCCACAGATCAACAAATGTCACGAAAGCGATCTCCGAAGGATGTCAGCTGAAGTTCTAGTTTACGATTAGATGGGTCAAAATCGAAAGGATCAATTGAAAAATCACTACAAACGCCCCCCCCCCACCCCCCCCCCTGTGTTTCCTTTTTTCCATGAACTAACCTCTGTATGGTCTCACATCTCATGTACATATATGACTGGTACCTTTGGCTCAAGACTGAGAAAAGCCGCTTGCTATCGCAACCGACTGCATTCGACCTGCGTCCGAGCATCGTTCGAGTGAACCTCTCTCGAGACCGTGTTCTTTCCAAGGGAAACCCACTGCATTGCACTTCGTGTCAATAGTGGATAGTGGTAGCGGAGCCTGCTCGTGATGTCCACGTCAGGCGATGATGCTACGGACCTTCCCTGGTCGAGTGTAAGTCCTAGTGCCATGGCAGCCATGCCCGCATTTGCAACACGTCAGTCCCACGAGGAGTGGATGTCCTTGCATATGAACGCTAAGCTGCCGCTTGTCTTTGACGGACGAGTAAGTTGGCTAGGTACGAAGAGGCAGTCGATGACTGGTTGTCGATAACTAGCATTGATAAGCCCGAACGTCATGGACCACTGCTCAAGTCCAGATTAACTGCCGATGCCACGATGTATAGAGAGCTTCTCGATAATGATCGTCCCTGAGAATGGAGTTAATTACTTCCTGCAGACCTTAAGACCGTATTTCGCAAAAGGAGCTCAGAACATTTTCCTCTATCGTGCTTTGAATTTCTTCAATCACCGTAGAGGCAATCAAGAATTCGTGACATTCATCAGCAAGTTCGAGATTCTCTTACGCCGGCTTCGTGCCTCATGGATGGACACCATGCCCAAGATAGAATTGACACCAGAGTTCTATGAACAACTTGCCAATTACAATCGTGCAGGTAATGAAAAGGCTCGTGCCGTATACGCAATGGCTAGTTGAGTGCAACGCTGCAACAGCATCAGGTAGAGCACCTCCTGACCGACCACCTGAAGCCGATTGGACTGATAGGACACCTGAGAGCCAGGATATCTTAGACAAGTGGAACAAGATCTGCCAAGACCGACATATGATCTTGTTTCCACTTACAAGCAATGTTCATAGCTCTGTTCTTTATCATCCAATCCGAGTTATCAGATGGCCAACGTGAACGGTTAACGATTGAACTGCAGAGCAAGGGAATTCTGATACACCTGTATGATCTAGAAACCATCAAACAGAAATACTATGACCTCTTCATAGTTTCCCGAACGGCAATTCAAGATCCAAACATTCGCCCGCACAACAAGCAGCGTTCGTTTTGGATTGTAGATCAAGGAGAATATGAAGGAGAGGAAGGTTTCTGGGTCGAGGATGATGAAAACGGAGAAGAGGGTTTTATGCCCTTAGATGATGAAGAGGCCTTTTAAAGGCCGTACATGAACATGAATGTTACGCTCTCCGTAGGGTCCCAGGTAGACGCCTAAGGGGGCGACGTAAGGGCGGTAGTAAAGGGTAAGGGAAGAAGAGGAGCATTTAGGTCCTATACTGGATTTCAAAATCGTAAGAGCGGCGGCAAGGCCAATATGGCCGAAGAAGAATATGAACCAGATCAGTCTTACTGGGGTAAGGGCAAAGGAAAATCCAAAGGTAAGAAAGGATTCAAATCCAAAGGAAAGTTCAAGTTTAGCAGTAAGGATGTTTCAAAAGGAAAGGACGGCAAGGGTAAGTCCAAGACTTTCCAGACATCCGATGATCAAGGCACCTCGAGCTCCAAGCCGACCTCGAGTACTGCCAAGGAGCCTCAATTGACCCTTCCGCAGATGACTGGTCCTGGTCCGATGAAGCTATAACATATTGGATGTATGATGTGGGATACCTGGTACGGTACTCCCGATTGGTCGTCATATGAGAGTTTGTATCTTACCGTAGATGCCACCAGTTCAGCAACTAAGGATGGCCTCGATATTGCGCAGCCGTACGCAATGGCCTCAGCTGTTCCAAGGACACGCCTTTCGCAAGTTGAGCCTGCCAAGTACCCTACTCATGTCATTCTCGATAATGGATGTACTAAGAGCATGCGTTCATGGTATGCAGTAGCGCGTTTTGTCCACGCAGTTCGTGAGAGTGGTAATCCGAACATTACCTGTTGGTATGAACCTGGTGATATGACTTTCACTTTTGCGAATGGACAGCCGAGTATAAGCTAGCAATACAAGTCCAGACGTCGCCTCCATGTTGTACCTATGTTGACATCCTAGATCAAGGTAAGGTTCCGATTCTTTTCTCCATTGGGCAGATGAGGAACCTGAATGTCACCAAAGAGCATACGAACGAAGGCGACTTCATGACCTGTCCATCCTTTGGACTTAAGCGTGCCCTTCTGCCGATGGCTCGCTCTGGTCACGCAACGCTAGACCTGACCTCCTTCGTGAGACAGGACACTTTTTCCGCAGCAGAGATACCGATGCGCAATGGAGCTTTTTGAATAGTGCTCTTGCCGCCAAACCTGCTGCCACTTCGTCTAAGTCCACATTACCTATAAGGCCTTACCTGCTGTCGATCCGACTGATTTAGACAAGCAGCATATTCTGGGAGGACATCCCAAGAATTATCACTGGTTATATGTTCCAGGTCGCAATGTCCTGATCCGAGTGCATAATACCGCCCGGAAGTCCTTGTATGTCCCAACCAAGTCCACATGTCCAGTTCCTTTAGATCATTTGCTGCCTGAACGCAAGACCGAGTTTCAACTTGAAACTGGTGAACCAGACATGATTGAAGACCGATGGACTGATAAAAACATAGCGCCGATTGAGAAACCATTGACCGGTAGAACACATTTTACGATCGCAGATACTCCTGCTACAACAGTTCCGATATTGGATCGAGCTGTTCCATCGTCGTCGTCGTCGTCGTCAGGCAAGAAGAAGGATGACAAGAGGACACTGATGATCTTCCGGTCGTGCACCAAGAACAGAAAGAATCTAAGGACATTGCAGAGCCCAAGGACAGCGATCCATTCGCTGATCCTCCACCTTCGTTGCCTATTGCTCTGGCCAGAATTCATAAGCGTCTTTTCGAATAAGAAAGAACTATTGAAGCTTCACATGAAACATCACCACATGAGTTATGAACAGTTCAAACACCGTACGCATGCACTTCATTTACCAACTGAAACCTATGATCTATACAAATCAGTCATTGAAGAGTGTGAGACCTGTCAGAAGTCGAAGACTGCACCTACACGCAGTAAAACTAGTGGTTTAAGATCAGAAGTTTTCGGAGAAATGACCTTTATGGATCACTGTGAGATTACTACTCCCACACGAGAACGTATTATAGTTCTTACTGTTTTGGATGGAGCAACAACACTTTTGACTTCGTCACCAGTGTCATCCAAGAGTGAACCTGAGTCCATCAAATTTTTTCGAGAATATGTAGATCAGTATCATTTGCAGCCAAAATATGTTGTCGCAGACCAAGCATTTATGACACCAGACCAAGCATTTATGTCCTGACACCTGAACATTCGCCCAGTCAGTCTTGGTCCAATGACACCTTGGCCGAATCGAGCTGAGACTGCCAACCGCCTGTTCAAGAAACAGGTTAATAAGATCATGCTACAGTCCATTCATGATCGTTCAGCACCTGCCTCATTGCATGCCGTGTCTTACAGACAGCTTCTCCGAGAAGCAGCATTGGCACGCAATACATCCATAACCTATGGGGGTGTAACACCTCATGAACTCGCCTTTGGCCGACGTCCAGCCGATATTGTCAAATTAGATACTGCTCTGCCTTCGCAACTCAGCCATGATCCTCGTCCAGATGAGCTTACCTCTATCCAGCTGCGAGATCTTGCACGTCAGTCCTTTATCGAAGCAAGACAGTCTGAAGAGCCGTGATCTTGCCGGACAATTTCGTATGTCCAATAAGATGATCGCGCCAGGTTTCAAGGTTTTCTACTGGCAAGAAGACAAATCCAAGATCAAGGCAGATGGTACTAAGGGTGGAGTCGGGATCAAAGGTAAGGCTATTTCTGTCGAAGGAGCCATGGTAGGAGTGGATTTAGGATCAGGGATTGTTAAGGTCAATGTTTCACTGTTGAGACGTGATGATACTATTGCACCATCCAAGCCAGAAATTGAACTACCAGAACATGATCATCCTCCTCCACTACGTGTACGTGAGAAAAGTGCACCTATTGTTCCAGAGTCAGACTTCGTGTATGAAGATGCAGAAGAGTTTTTCAGCTCTGATGGTACTTCCTATGCAGAAGCTCACTGGAACTGTGAGATAAGAGGTAAGATCCATGTTCTGGAAATCTTTGCTGGATCAGCTAGATTAAGTCAGTGTTGTGTCTTGTCCGGAATGAAGGTAGGAACCCCGATCGATATTGGGAACGGTTTTGGTATTTGTACTTCGAAGGGAAGTGCTTTGGCCAATAGAATCATTAGAGAGCAACAGCCAGATGTCATTATTTTGGAACCTGTCTGTGGCCCTTGGTCCAATATGCAGAATATCAATGATTGGGGGTCTGTCCAACAGAAACGTCGTAAGATGTTGCCTATGGTCGATTTTTGTGCAGAAGTTGCTAAGTATCAACATCGCAGAGGTAGATATTTCGTCTTGGAGAATCCATTCACCTCCAACTATGGTTTACAAAATCCATGACGGAACTTCAGAAGGAACAAGGTATAACATATGGTAGTTTTGACATGTGTTGTTTTGGTGCAAGAGATCCTGTTTCCAAGAAGCTGATTCTGAAGCCGACATCGCTGCTTCATAATTTTCCGCCAGGAGTC